CTAAATACTTCACATTACAGTCATTTCAAATACCTAAAAAAATCAATAACAGCAGAACGATATTTATTCACAACTATTCCTCTAGCAAATAAAATATTTTTTGCACGACTGAGACTCCTTTGGACGATATTCCCAGAAAATCGTTCGAAGCGCTGGAAGACTGATTTGACTCTAACTTGCGATCTGTGTAAAAACAGAATCCAAGACGAAATTATGCATATAATATTCGGATGCTCTTGCTTAGAGAAACAGAGAAAAGAAATTTTGGGTGACTTACTCTGGTCTCAACCTGACTGCCAACAAATTTGCAGCTGGATGAACACACTGATGGTTTATCAGGGTCTCTCCCTCGGTTTATATAGATTCTACAAGGCCACAGTCAATGTCCGTTGGAGAATAATGTATTCGCCGAATGTCGTGGTTTGCTTGGAGGAAGAAAGCGAAGATTGAATGCGGCTGATTCCACACTAGCCCTCTCAATGATATCCTAACCTTGACATATTCTAAACATTGGTACTTTAATTTAAATATTTAATCATGTATGGTTCCTTTTGCTCTGTATGTTTATTTTTGGTATATATGGTTATAATTATTTTTGTTTGTTTTTTCTTTCTTCTCTCCTTTCTTTTTCCTTATTACTTCTTGTATTCTAGTTTTTACTTTTGAAATATCTTCCTTTGCTAAATCCCGTAGAGGGGAATCATGTATAGGGCTGGATGCCCCAATAAAAAGGCTTGTGTGTGTGAATTTACATGGAAATATATGAGAACATTAAATAAATGCAATCATTCCTATTATATATATCAAAAATATAAAACATAAGGCAATAATGGGCTATATCTATATCTAATATCACTATCAAGTGTGCGAATGTTCCTTTCACAAATGAAACATTCCTACACCGTAAAATTTGTAACAATCAAATTTACTGGCAATATGTTTATTTTCATTAATATCATCAAATATTATATCTACAGACCTTACTGCAATGATATAAGTTATTGAATGAGAGGGATTGGTTGATTAGTGATGAACCCTCTCAGTGGTTTCGCCAAATTAATCTCTAGACCGTTTTACCATTGCATTTTATTGGATTTTTGTTATATAGCCTGCATCTTAATTGGAAGGCAGCTTAGGGGTGTATAGTGAACCTATGGACATAACCTTATAGGTCTGTAAAGGTACATACATATAATATCAAGGAAAAGCATCGAGCAAAGCTATACTGCAAATATGGTTTCATAACAAATGTATATTAGTAAATTAAATTTGAAAATTAATTACCATCTATCGATTAAGTTTGTAACATTTTTTTTACTGAAAATTCAATTTTTAATTTACTGTCTCTATTGCGATGAAAAATATTGTGAGGGCTCGGCTCATCAGTGGTGAACCCTTCCAATCGCTTGGCCAATTGAGTCGACATGACCTCCAATTAGGGCTCCAACAAAAGTCCTAAGATCTGATGTCTTTTGGGTTTGCCTATATATCATAAATTGGATTAAATCCTTCAGTGGCGAATAAATGGACGGATTTGTCCAATCATTATTGAGGAATAATATTCTATGTTATGTAATTCAATGGTGTAATAGGAATAACTTATCAATGAGCCCAGAGAAAACGAATTTAATTTGCTTACATAATAAAACTAAAGTTTCAATTTATAAATACCGAATACTATTAGGTATAAAATTCTCAAATCATAGAATAAAAAAAGAAGATCAATTTTACATCACATATCAACGACATTTTGTGCAGGATCGTAAGAATGGAAAATGTTCGGTTTAAACTTAGTGGAAAAATGTGGGGAATAAATAATAAAAAAAAAGAGTAATTCTGTATAAAACAATCATCAGACCAGTTCTTACGTATGGTTAAGAAATTTGGTACAAATTTATCAATAGTCGATGCAAAGAAAAACTAAATTCTTCCCAATATCAAATTATTTTTTGGGCGATTAGAGCCTATAAACCTACTTCGTCCAACAGTGTCCATAGTTTAACGAACATCCCCATTCTCACAGACTATATTGAATCTAAAATAGTCAAATATGATTTGGCTCAACTTACTATAGAGGATCAAAATGCTTTTAGAACACCTGCTCCAAGTATAATCCGATCAATCTTTAAGAGCAAAATTGGATGATATATTTTAAAAAACAAATGAAACATTTCTCAGAGCTTTTTACCTTATGGAATTCCATCATTTTTCCTTCTAACCTTTACATTACCTAGTTCACAAGGAACCACGGAAATTTAAGGGAATTTTTGGCGACAATTGGAGTGGTTGAGGACTCTAGCTGTCACTGTGACAAGGAAATCCAGAACTCGATACGCCTACTGCTGGAATGCCCACTCTTCTTCAACGCTAAACAACAGACAGTAAATAATGTTGTAGATCTATATGAATTTTTAAATACCAGATATAATTTTAACAGATTTGATTGCATTTGTAAATATATTTACGAATTAATTTCTAACCTGAAAGGATCAGATTCCTAATCTATCTTATCGTTTTTTTTTAAATTATTAATATTTATATTTTAATTATATAATGAGTTTACAACTGTTTTTCTGATCAAAAATGTAAAATGATTCAAGCGGGGATAATGCGTTTCGTGTTTTGATATAAAATAAAAAAAGTGTTGAAATACAATTAAAGGTCGGTCTGGTGGATTGAATGGGTGAGGCCGCTGATAGAATTCACCACTGATGGGCCACGTCTTTCTAATTAGGCGTAGGTGTTAATATGATAATTAAGAGATGAAATAGGTGTTGAGAAATATTCAAAATACATTGACTTCGGTAATATAGATACCATGAGGTTGGTTATTGACATTTAGAGTTACCTTCTACACGGCATCATTGGATTGATTTCCCAATTAAAGATATTTCCAATTGAAATTAAGTGCGACTTCTTGTGAAAATGTGTGTACTCTTGTTATCATATCCGTGCAGGCAGTAAACATATTTATACCATTTATTTTTTCTACCAAATGATTGGATTAATTGGGGAGAAGATGTCCGACCAAACCTCTCTGCGTTCCCTTTTGTACCCTTGGATTATTCGAGAAAATTCTAGTCCGTTTCCAAAGTGACTAACGTTACAAATGCCCCCATATTCCAATGGCCGCAGCCTTGCAAAAATTTGACATGGACCCAGAGCAGCAGCTTTACACATCAAAGGTAGAAGACATTGCAACTGCTGTGATAGAGATGCATAGAGACATCTGAGAATCTTCATTGGACACGACAACAAAAAAAAATATCTTTAATCAATTTCAGAAAACATCAAAATGAGTAATTATTATGATATTCCAACACATTTTAATATTTTAACAATGGATATAAATATATATATATTTAATTTTGTTACTCAGCAACTTTCTATTTGTGGCTCACTTTTATTTATATGTAAATAAGAAATGACTTCTAGACGCTTCAAGATCCTAGGTTAACTATAACTTTCTAAATAAATGAAATATATAAATAAGATTGAATGGTTTTGATCAAACTAAATTGCGATGTCAGTTTTATATTTATCCTTAGTCGTTTTTAAACTTGACAATATACAATTATGTACTCTTCAAAGTGTTTTTTTATTTTAACCTGGGCTCTTTCAACAATATTTTCAAATATACCAATAAACCTAAAGTGATTATAGACTTTTCAAAATATCGTCGTAGTTAGAAGATCACTACAATCACCCCATAAGATTTTAATATAAATATCTACATAATTTTCATTATCTATAAATAAAAGACGTAGGTAAATTTATATATGGCTCTTATCAATGAAGATACGGCTAATCGTATAGCCCATGATGTATATGTTGGCATTCTTCAGAATTTAGCAAAGCTGGTGTTCTCGCTTAACTTTTCCTCTAAATCTGTAAGGTTTATACAGAACCGATGACCAAAATATATTTTTAAATTGTGAAAAGTTCTCTTTGCACAAGAGTAAATGTATAATAGAGAAGTAGTTGAGTTACCTAATTTTCAAATGCAATTACTGTTCTCTCGTTTCATAAGAATATAATATAATGTTCGAAATATCATTTAGAAAGAATTGAAACTCAGAGAAAATCTGAAGAAAAGACCAACGGACTAAAGCAAAATAGGACAACCTGTATTGAACTCAAGCTATCATCAGCAACAATTGAGTGTTTGTAAAACGAAAATTGCAATTATACCGCGAATGTTTCTTTTAAACAAAAATCAAAATTTATTTTAAAGAGAAATAGCGATTATTTCTAACTTTAAGGATGAAGTATGATAGGATGAATTGTGAATAGTAATGACAAACGGAAAAATAAAAGTGTCCAGGGATGGGAATCGAACCCACAGTGTTCCGCTTACCGGGCAGATGCCATGTCCACTAGGCTATCCTGGACATATTTTTCCGTTCGTAAATATTATATAAAGTAATTTAAAATACAATATAACGCGGCTGATGATTGTAAAACGAAAATTGCAATTATACCGCGAATGTTTCTTTTAAACAAAAATCGACAAAAAACTGTGGGTTCGATTCCCATCCCTGGACACTTTTATTTTTCTGTTTGTCATTACTCTTCACAATTCATCCTATCATACTTCATCCTTAAAGTTAGAAATAATCGCTATTTCTCTTTAAAATAAATTTCGATTTTTGTTTAAAAGAAACATTCGCGGTATAATTGCAATTTTCGTTTTACAATCATCAGCCGCGTTATATTGTATTTTAAATTGAGTGTTTCATTGAGATACAAAGGTTATTCCACTTTTTTCCCTTCTTCTCTCTTATCTAATCCACCGTCATCTCTGACGTCGTTAGGTGGCTGAATCTGGTCTTACAATACCTATTGACACCAATCACATATATATTACTGTCTTGTTTTTAACCCAACCTTATAGTTATGCTCCTAGATAAGACTTCGTGAATATTAACTGTAAAATTTCAATTATCTATGGAAATATATTTATTTACGGGGCTGTTAACCAGAATGGATGAAAGAATAATGGCTTACAGCTACACCCCGTGTTCCCAGGTGGCCACCCTCCCAAGTACTGACCGGGCCCGACGTGTCTTAACTTCGGTGATTGGACGAGAACCGGTGTTTTCAATGTGGTATGGCCGTAGGCAATAGTTTAGAATTTCCATTTTCTAATAATCATTAAAATATTTGTATTTCAACTTATATAGACCTATCCTGGAATTCAGGAAATGAAAATAAAGCCATGGAGGAAATTATCAATTTGGAAAATAACAATCAGCTATTTACTGTCTGGGTGGAAATCATAACGATGAAATAACGTTCCAGTAATTTTTTTTTTATTTTATAACGATATTCTCAGCTTATTCAGCCGAACTCTCAAAATCTTAGTATGAGTAGACAAGCTCTCATTAGCCGACTGCTCAGAGAGAAGCTTTTATAGTTTTAACTTGTTCCGGCGATAGGCTGCTAAATTTTGTTTTACCTCCTGAGATAAGGAACAATGTATAATACAAATCCTTCAATCCAATTGGTATAATAAATACTTTTCTTTTAAATATATTTTGTGAAGATAAAATATAGAAAAAATCAGGTATAGTTTTCAAGTTTGAGTATTTTTCTCAATATATTTTTCTCTAATTATAAATAATCATATACGTGTGTTTACTAATTTACCCTATAAATGATTTATAAATTTAATAGTGACCTATCGATAATTTGTAACAAATATATTTACTGGCAATGTGTTTCTTTTCAATAATATCATCAAATATTATCTATACAGACCTCTCATCAGCATAAGAGCCAAGCCCTCTCATTCAATAACTTATATTATTGCAGTAAGGTCTGTAGAGATAATATGTGGTGAAATTATTGAAAAGGAACACACTGCTAGTAAATATATTTGTTAGAAATCCTAGAAATAATAGTAAATGAAAAGGTTGACAGATGAGAGGCAAGATAAATATATTAATCAAAATAAAGGTATAAGTTATTTATGGCTGAAGGAGTGATGCTAAATAGGATGAAACTTGTGGATGACTTTTCTAAATTAAAAAGCCATTAAAAATTAGTTTGAGCTATCGCTCGGGAAAACTTTTCAAGTTACTTAAAACTAAATTAGCGAGGAAAAAACCTTAATGAACTTGGGATTCCATCGGCCAGGGTATATGAGGGCTAGCTGAGCGGAGAAGACAGTATTCTCTATAGATACCACTTGTACGCCCCAATATTCCAATATATTTAACTGGAATGACTTACTAAACGAATGACTGATGATGAATGAGAGACATATAGAAATGGAAGATGTGTATACATATTATTGGTCTTTAACATATAAGTATATTGTGGAATAAACAATATAACAATATATTAATAATAGATATGCAATCTTATTATTAAGAGTTTTTAACTCTTGTTGTCTCATAAAATTTCTATTATACATTGCATGGGATAAACTCTACTATTATACAACTATATTACCAGGTCTATTAGTATGAAACGCGAAAATTTTCAGTGAATTCAAAAGTTCACCAATTCCATACAACAAAAGATTTTTTATTCAAAGTAATTGCCCTGATTAGCTATATACTCGGACCACTTTTCAGGCAATTTTCGAATTCCTTGTCTGAAAATTTCTAATTCTTTTGAGTCGAACCAGTCAACAAGTCATTTTCGGAGTATGTTTGAGTTCTAAAATTCCTGTTTTTTTTGGGGCGTGTCCTAAAGATGTGAAAAGGTGGTAGTTCGACGGCGCTAAGTCTGGTGAGTACGGCGGGTAAGGTTAGAGTTCCCAGCTCAAGTCTTTTATGGTGTTTTTGACCACCGTAGCGTTGTGGGCTGGAGCGTTGTCATGCTGCAGTATCAGGTTGTTGTGCTTTTCACGCCATTCCGGTCTTTTTTCATTCAACGCCTCTCTCAAACTGTGCATTTGTTGTTCGTAGCGACTAGTATTGACCATTTTGCCAGGTTTCAGGAGCTCGAAATAAACTACGCCGGTCTGGTCCCACCATATGCAAAGCATTGCCTTTTTTCCGAAGCGTTTGGGCCTAGGCGTCTGTTTTGGAAATTGGCCGGGCAGGCCCCACGACCTTTGGCGCGTAGGATTGCTGAAGTGGATCCATTTCTCATCAGAAGTTACGATTCGGTGCAAAAATGACTTCTTTTCATGCCTGGCAAGCAGCCCTTCGCAGGTTACCAGACGCCGTTATTGCTGCCTTTCGCTCAACTCGTGGGGGACCCATCTGGAAAGCTTTTGGGTCATTTCGAGGCTGTTTAAACGTAGAGAAACAGCACCTTGAGACACCTGGAGCTGTTTTGCGAGTTTCTCCTGCATTTGGGTACTGTCCTCATCCAACAAAGCTTGCAGTTCAGCGTCCTAGAACTTTTGGGGCGGTTTTCCATGTGGTTCATTATAAAGTTCAAAATCGCCACTTTGGAATTTTTTAAACCACCTGTAACACTGCGATTTGCTCAGAGCATGGTCGCTGTAAACTTCCTTGAGCATTCGGTGGGCTTCAGTGGCACCTTTCTTCCAGTTGAAGGCGAACAACAAAACTTCCCGCAAATGGGCACTTTTTGGCTCGGAAATCGCCATTTTCCATTGGCTCCAGAAATTTTTCACGATTTGAATTTTTCTAAAACTGCACGCATGCTGATGCCACGTGAGTCAAAGAACAAAACGCCTACAACAGCGCCACCGTCGGCTCAAATAAAGTTGCACAGCGGCCTCTGGCGCCCATTTTCGCGTTTCATACTAATAGACCTGGTATACAAGTAATTTTATTGCTTGCCTATAATAGTACAATTTTCTCATATAGAAATATGTTTTATAACGCGCGCGTGTGATGTTTCTTTTATTAAATAAAATATTTTCTTACTGTCTTTTCTGCGATGAAAATATATCAGGAGGGATTTACTTTTTAGTGGTGAAACCCCTACATAGAGGTTTTGTCAATTTGATCCATCATACCGCTGTGATATTGAATACATGGATCTAATATGATATTGGGCTATTCTACCTTTATACCCTGCATTATAAAGGAATTATTTGTTAAGGCCTTCAAATAAATCAATAGACATATAAAGCTTACATTTTCATCTCTAAAATAATTATATCTATCATTAAAACATAATGTCCACAATGGGCTAACCTATATTGCTATTTAATTAAAAAGCCGAATATTGGATCAAAATATAATATATATACCAATATTTCAGTTGGCTGAACGCCAACCATTTTCAAGGTATTACAATATATTAATGTCAACAACAAACACTTTCTTATTTAATTGAATTTATATTCATGGAGTACTCTACCTTTCAAAAAATATATTGCTACGAGCATAATTCGACGACACAAGTGGTTAGAAGGGAACCTGGTGAAACAACCCGGAGGGAGATAAAGCCGCACGGCGGGAGAAAGAAACGGTGCGAGAATAAAAAGCGCGGGGAGGTGTTTCTTTGAAACAAATTAAGATAAAGGTGTTGTATGCAGAATGTGCCGGGGCAATCGACCGTGGAGTGTCAAGATAAGACTCGCAGCGGCTGAAAAATGAAATCGGAGGATTTCTTCGGGTCCCTCGGGGGAGATTCGTAGGTTGGATCAATGGAGTCTCTTCTGAAACCTTCTGTCTATCTGCTCCACGATGTCTTTAACTTGATACATTTCCTACCTTCTGTTCTGGATCCTTTTGTCAATCTGTCTGTGCCTTTTCACGATGTCTTTAACTTGAATAAATTTCTTGCATTGTGTTCTGGATCCATCTGTCTATATATATTTCCTGCGTTTCTCCACGATGTCTCCACCTTTGGGTGAATTTGTTGTCTTCTGTTATGGATGATTTTTGTATATATCTATGCGCTGTTCCACGATGTATTTAACTTGAATACATTCCTTGTCTTCTGTTCTGGATTCTTTGTCTATCTTTCTGCGCTGTTCCACGATGTCTTTAACTTGGTACATTTCTTGCTTTCTGTCCTGAATCCTTTTGTCTATCTTTCTGCGCTGTTTAACGATGTATTCAACTTTAATAAACTTCTTGCATTATGTTCTGGATCCTTTTGTTTATATATATTTGCCTGTATTTCTCCACGATGTCTTCAACTTGGGTAAATTTGTTGTCTTCTGTTCTAGATTCTTTTGTCTATCTTTATACGCTATTTAACAATGAATTTAACTTAGATGAAATTCCCGCATTATGTTCTGAATTTTTTTGTTTATCTGTCTGCGCTTCTCCACGATGTCTTTACCTTGGGTAAATTTATTGTCTTCTGTTCTGGATACGTTTGTCTATCTTTCTGCATTGTATCACGATTAATTTAACTTTGATACATTTCTTTTTTCTATTCTATATCCTTTTGTCTATCTGTCTGAGCTCTTTTAAGATGTCTTTAACTTGAGTAAATTTTTTGCATTATGTTCTGGATCCTTTGACTATCTCTCTGCGCTGCTCCACGATATATTTAACACTGGTACATTTCTTGTTTTCTTTTCTGGAGGTTTTTGTCTATCTGTCTGCGATGTATCACGATGTATTCAACTTGGATACATTTCTTGTTTTCTGCTCTGGATCCTATGTCTGCGCTGTCCCACGATGTCTTTAACTTGGATACATTTCTTGTCTTCTGTTCTAGAAACTTCTGTTTACCTGTTTGTCTGCTTGCGATGCTCTACGATATGCTTAACCTCTGTAAATGTCAATCCCTTAGTTCGAAACCTGAGTTGCTCCACAATATATGTAATTCGTGTAAACTTCCCATCCAGTGTTCGGGAGATTTCTGCCTATATGTATGTCTGCACTGCTCTATAATACCTATGTAAATTTCATTATTTCTGTTCTGTAAACTCCTGTTTATTTTTAAATTTACAAAAATAAAAATAAAAAAATCATAAAACTACGCAAATATTTTTATTATAAAGATTTTATTTTTTTATGATTGAGTTCCATACAAATGTTCATACATAAATAAGTGAACATAGACCTGAGTCTCTGAAGGTTTTCTAATGTTTCACAATTTATACTCAAAAGTGTGGCATTACCGTTAGAAAAAATATATAAATATATCTGTCTTCCAATAACTAACTAGTTATAAAATACGAAATTATTTCAAAAATATTGTATTTCACTTTATATATATTCATT